AGAATTTCTTTTCAAGGCTGAATAATATTCTGTTGTATGTAATTACTATGTTTTGTTTATGCATTTATTGGTTGATGGACATTTGGGTTGTTTCTACCTTTTGGCCTCTTGTGAATAATGATGCTATGAATGTGGGTGTATAAATACCTCTTTGAGACTCTGTTTTTAGATCTTTTGGATATATTCTCAGAAGTAGAATTATTGGATCATATGGTAATTCTATTTTTAATTTTTTTGAGAAACTAACATAATTGTTTTCCATAGAGGCTTGCACCAATTGTGCCCAAGGGTTTCAATTTCTCTTTATCTTTGCTAATACTTGTTTTCTCTCGTTAGTAGCTATCCTAATGGGTGTGAGTTGATAATCTCACTGTGGTTTTGATTTGCATTTCCCTAATGATTAATGATGTTGAGCATCTTTTTAAATCCTTGTTGTCTTTGTGTATATTTTTGCTGGAGAAACAGTTATATAAGTCCTTTGCTCATTTTAAAATCAGGCTATTTGTATTTTTTTGTTGAGTTGTAGGAGTTCTTTATATGTTCTGGATATTTACCCCTTATCAGATAATGTGATTTGCAAATATTCCGTCCTGTAGGTTGCCTTTTCACTATTGATTGTATCTTTTGCACAGAAGTTTTAAATTTTGATGTAGTCCAGTTTACCTGTTTTTTTTTTTTTTTTACTTTTGTTGTTATATTCATTAAATTGTTGCCAAATCCCAATGCCATCAAGATTTTCCTCAATGTTCTCTTTAAGACTTTTGTAATTTTAGTTTTTACAATTAGGTCTCTGATCCATTTTTTTTTTTTTTAAGATTTTATTGATTTATTTGACAGAGAGAGACACGCGAGAGAGGGAACACAAGCAGGGGGAGTAGAAGAGGGAGAAGCAGGCTTCCTGCAGAGCAGGGAGCCTGATGCGGGGCTTGATCCCAGGACCCTGGGACCATGACCTGAGCCGAAGGCAGACGCTTAATGACTGAGCCACCCAGGTGCCCCTCTGATCCATTTTTGAATTAGTTTTTGTATATGGTATAGGTTATGGTCCAACTTCACACTGCGTGCAGATACACGGTTTTCTCAGTACCATTTGTTGAGAAACCATGCTTTCCCATAATGGTCTTGACACCCTTGTCGAAAATCAGTTGACCATATGTGTGAGGGTTTATTTCTGGGCTTTCTATTCCATTGGTCTTGTTTGTTCTTATGCCCATACCATATTGTTTTAATTATTGTGGCTTTGTAGTAAGTTTCAAAGTTAGGAAGTGTGAGTTCTCCAACTTCATTCTTTTTCAAGATTATTTTGCAAATTAAAATAATACCTATCAATGGCAAAAATTTAAAAATATGACAGTGTACTTTGTTGGTGAAGCTGTGGAGAAATGGGCACTCTCGTACATTGCTGGTGAGAATGTGAGTTGTTATAGCCCTTCCAAAGGGAAATTTGGCGATACTTAAAAATACTACATATGTATTTATTTACTTTTTGACCCAGCAAGACCATTTCTGGGACTCTGCTGTTAAGATACACCTCCAACAATATAAAAATACATACATCACTACAGCAATGTAATGCAATGTAACTGGAAAATATTGGAAACAGTCTAAATGCCCATACATAGGAAAGTGATTAAAATGTGGTAAATCCATTCAGTGAAGTAATGGAGCTGTAAAAAAAAAAAAGAGTGGTCTGTATCAACTGATACGGAGTGTTTCTGAGATAATATACTGTTAAATGACAAAAGTAAAGCACAGGAGTAGCTATAGTATATGGTCTTTTGTGTAAGAAAGTGATATAAGACAGTACACGTGTATCTGCTTATTTTTGTCAATACTGGAAGGATAAACTGGAAACTAAAGTGATTATTGGTAACCTATAGGGGGTAGGTGGGAAATGGGTGCAAAAAAGTGAGGATATTGGAACTCTGGGTATCAGGAATGAGGAAGGAATGACATTAGAGGGGATGGGGAAGAAAAGAACTTTATTCCAAGTTGTTTTGGAAAATAACATCTTGATTGTACTGTTATGGTAAAGATAAAAAGAACTGACCAGGTTATTTTGGTAAAGATATGGTAAAGATAAAAAGAACTGCACATTTATGCTGTAATACAACATTTGTAATATAGTCAGTAAATATATTTGTCACAAGGGCATAGATTTACAGTTCTGAAACTGCCTTATGTATGTACTCAAATTGAACAAATAGGTAAATATGTTTGGACAACAAAAACTGGATTTCTAACAAATAAAGAAGGGAGAAGGCTAAAATGAACTCTGGCGGGTTGGTTTTGGAGTCTGAGATATCAGTATATGTATCAGGTTACTTTGCATATGTTTCCTAGCTGTGTCTACTGAGAGTGACTAAAAGGTATGATACCCCAGCAGTAATGAACAAACCTAGGATCCAGTTTTTTATTTCCGATTCTCCACTTCTTGGAGAAGTGGTTGATTCCAGGACTGAGAGAGAAAATACTAAAGGTGCCTGGAACACCTTGATGTGTGCCAGGTAACAAAGTGCTTAAAAAAAAAGATTGGGGGTGGCGCCTGGGTGGCGCAGTCGGTTAAGCGTCTGCCTTCAGCTCAGGTCATGATCCCAGGGTCCTGGGATCGAGCCCCGTATCGGGCTCCCTGCTCCATGGGAAGCCTGCTTCTCCCTTTCCCACTCCCCCTGCTTGTGTTCCCTCTCTCGCTGTGGCTGTCTCTGTCAAAAAAAAATCTTAAAAAAAAAAAAGATGGGGGATAGTGTTTGAAAGAACATGGGAGCCAAACTAAAAGAGTTCTAATGGCCAAAGCTGGAGCAATTTGAGCAAAAGAAATAATGAAATCATTGGATTATAATCCATAGAATAATAAAGTAAATATCCATGAGTCCATACTGATAGAGACATAAAAAGGGGAAATGAACAGTTCTCACTTATAGTAGAATTCCAGTTAATAACTGTGGAAGGATGGATGGATTGAGGGAAGTAGAAAATAAGCATTAGCTAAACACAGTAATAATTGTTGCAGACAACGTCCACCAATTGATTGTAAAATTAGTGAGTGAAAATTTGAGGAGAAGTAAAATTTTTAAAGATTAAAAGTATGTCCCCCAAGATCTTCATTAATCACAAAGGGAAATATAGTAACTTTACTGGGATGAAACCTGCCAAAATTTATCTTAATCAGTGGTCAAGGTGCACATCACAATAATAAAACATATTCACATCTTGAGACCCATGATAGAGAAAGGATACATCATTTCTTTGTATTCTTGCCAGAAATGTATAAACTTAGTCCAATCATCAGAAAACATCAGCCAAACCCAAATGAGATATATTTGACAAGGTAAAGCAATTGGTACTCTGAGAGTCAAGGACATGAAAAATAGGGAAGCCCAAGGCATTGTCGGAGATTGGAGGAATCTAAGGAGATGTGACGACTAAATATAATGTGAGAGTTTTTTTCTTTGACAATGGCCTGTTCTTGCCAAATGAAATCTGTTTTCTTTGTTTTCTCTTTGAATATTAAAGGCATGTTTTAAAATATCTTATTTTGTCTTAAAATGTCTCTGTTTCAGATTGTTCCATTATTTGTATGTAGTTCTGAGATATGAATTCTATTCACGTGTCCCTTTACCACTGTGCTTTTTTTTTTGAGTGTTTCCCACTTTTTTGCACTTGGGAAATTCTCTTTTGCTTTTGGATTTAGCTCTGTATTAAAACAAGTTTTGTTTTTCGGTTATATCTCAACTAGCATGTTGGAAGTGGAAGAGGTGACTTCTTGCATTAATTAAATCTACTATATTGATGGGAAACCTCTCCCCTATTCCTATTCCATTTACAAACAATAGGGTAATTACATTCAGTGTATTAGGGGCTAAAATAAAGCTACTCACTTTCCTACTATTTATCTTACACTTGCAGTATATGTTTTTGTTTGTTTTTTGGTAACAGTATATTATAGTTAAGGTCAGAATTTTTTTTCTGCTTTCGTAATAGAAGATTATCAACTTATTTGAAATAATTTAGAACTCAAATGATGATAGAAAGGAATAGAAACCTTTTCCCTTTCCACTTTACTATCTTGGAAGCATAGGGGAGGAAAAAGGCAGACAAGTTACTATTGGAGGAATATATACTTATAAGGGGCTGGAATTAAATTTAGCTGCTGAAAAGAAAAACTTCCCCCTTCCTACCCCAAGGTTCCTCCCAAACATTGTCCAGATTTGAATTCTGCTGAGTTAATCCCTCCCTCTCTCTCTCTTTCTCCCTCTCCTTTTTAACCCTTTGGTAGGTTTAGGACACATGTATGTAATGTTGTTTTAAAAAGTCCACTGGGCAGTGGACCCTAGGGCCATTTAGAATACGTGACTGCCAGGGGAAAATGGAAGACAGTTCTTTCATATACCTGAAATATTATTTTTATTCATTTATACCAAAATTAACTATGAAGCCCAAGAAGGTGAAATAGGCAAAAGAAGAAAAATTCCATAGTAAATAAGGATTTAGAAAACAAAGAACTTGTGAAGTAGCAGTCATTCAGATCATGTGAAATAGGGAAGAGGAAGACCTACAAATACTTCTGTCAGAAAACATCAGAAGCAAGTATTTATCAACCCATTATGGGAGCATTTTTTTCCAAGCATTAAATTGATCTGAGATCTTAATTTGATAGTGCTGAAAAAATTGTGTGGCAGGCATTGAGTTTGTAGATTTAAAAGCACAACTCATATTTTAGTTCAAAAGTATTTCTTTTATGGTAATGCTTATAAAATCACTGGAAATTGTATTCCTGCTGTAAAGTCATCGCCTGATATAAACTGATGGCAACAGAACACAGTGATAAAAACATGTATCCTCCAGATTAAATTGCTGATATTTGACTAGTTGAAACTTGACCATGATTGATAAAGTTGATATCAGGTCTATTTTCAGTTGTGTTGTTTAGTATTCATAATGATACTATGGTCTTCAGTTTCCTTTGATGGTTGAATTTTTATTATTTATTTCTTCCACAGAAGTGAACAGTACCATATCTTTGAAAGATTTGAGAATACTATTTTTATATGAATTTAAACTAGGACATAGTGCAGCCACAGCAAGTAGAAACATCAATTCTGTCTTTGGAAAAGGCTCTGTTAGTGAAAGGACTATCCGGTGGTGGTTTGAAAAATTTCGTTCTGGGGATCTGAGTCTGAAAAATGAGCCTCGAGGGAGACCCAAATCTGTTTTAAATGAAGATCAGTTGAGAGCCATGGTGGAAGCTAACCCCAAAACAGCAATTCGAGGCCTTGCAGCAGACTTAGGAGTTTCTGCTACAACAATTTCTCGACACCTGGCTGCAATAGGAAAGGTGAAAAAGTTGGACAAGTGGGTAGGTAACACCAACTGATGGATAATCATAAACTGAGATATTTAGAGATGTGCTTATTCCTGAAGATTTAAAAGAGCAGAGACCTATTTTGGAGAATATCATAAGCTTTGACAAAAAATGAAAGTGGTCTGGACAATGGTTGGATGTTGAAGAAGTTCCCAAACGTGTTAAAACCATCATTGCAACCAAAAAGAAGGTTCTGGTAACTGTATGGTGGTCTGCAAAGAGAGTATTTCATTACTTTTAACTCAGGCAAAACAGTAGCATCTTATTGTCAAGAAGTTGAAATTATGTATCAAAAATGGATCTAAAAGCACTCTGCATTGGTTAGCAGACATGGATGGACATACACTTTTCCATGACAACATTTGATCAGTGAAATCCCAGACCACCATAGGGAATGACTGCATTGGGCCAAGAACTTTTGCCATATCCATCACACTCATCTGACCTTTTTTCAACAGATTAGCACTCTGTCATCATTTGGAACTCTAAGAAACAGAACATTCTCTAATAGAGAACAGTAATTGAAGGATTTGAATAAATTTTAACAATGCTGAATTTTATAAATATATAGTATTTGGAGAAATTTATCATTGGGGGAAAGCAGTTAATGCTAACAGTGCATATTTTGGTTGAATAAAACTTTTCTTTTCCTGAAAATTACAACATTTTCATTTTTATATAAAGGCAGTTTCATATGGCTCAACCTAATACCTTCCCAGATCCTGGCAGAACATGAAGACTCTAAGATATGTAATGTACTGGAAAACTACAAGCTGCCCCTGAGTTTTGGGCTTCTTCATTGGAGGAATGTGGAACAACCCAGAGTGTAGGTATGTGTGAAAGATGCTTAGGACTCAGTCATGCAAAAATCCAGGTAAAGAGGGTTTTAGGGAGATGAGCAACCTCATCAAAAGCTCTCAGGCTCTCAGAAAATATTTTTTGAATAAAGAAATCATGTTTCTAACACAAAAGCCATGCACATGGTAGACATGCATGGCACAGTGGTGCTTTTGAGTGATGATACTTATTCTGTCACACAAAGCCAGTCCCTTCTTTCATGTGTTTTCCACTCTGATTCTTTATTTTAAGAAAAATATAAGTGGCCTATCATCATAATTAATGGCCTCTTTATGATTGTGTAGCTAGATTGCAGTTACTCCTTCTGGCATCCAGGGATTAAGTTGGGGTAAAGTTACTGGGATGGTCCTCTTCCTGCCTCTCTCCCTCCTGGTGATCTGCTGTGTCTAATCTGTGAAGGAGAATTAAGGAATCCTAAAAGCTAAGAGGTGAGAGAAGGACATCTGGAATGGATCTTACCTGGAGAGAGAGAGAGGGGGAAGGAGGGAAGGCGAGGAATGGAGGGAAAGCTGGAATGGAAATCCCCTAAAGTAGAATTTGACTATGAGCCAAAGATTTAAAGACCATGGGATGCATTACTGCAAATTAAAAAAAAAAAAAATGTCCCTTCCTTTGAGTAGAAGCAGCCCAGTACTATGACACAAGATTTGTAAGCAGTGTCTTTCAGTTCTAATTTACTCCCCTGGCTGGGTGCCCTGGTCTGGAGTCACCTGCTCATTTTACTGCTCCATCCTTGGGTTGTCAAGGAATCTATTCAGTGTTTTTTTGGACTCCTGCTTACTCTCAAGAATGAAGCCTGAGATTTAGAGTACAGGATGAAAAATGAGGCCTGAGATTTAGATAGGGTAACAAGGCTAAAACCAGAAGTGTGGGAAGGACTTTATATGAAAGGCAGCAAGCACAAGGGTGAAGTCAAATGGTCACAGAGGACCAATGTGAAAGAAAGTGGTATTGTATAGTTGCTTAGTCTGGGTAGTAGTTGCTTCATGGCCATCCATCCTTCCCTCAATTCTCAGACCCCTTGTCAGACTTCCCGAGCTGGATGCTGGACTTTGGTCTAAAACAGCAGATCTGTTCAGCCCAAATGAGTGGTTTCTTCCAAAAAGAACCAGTGAAATGTGATGAGATGGGAAAGGAGCAGTTATAGGATGTTGAGTTATCCCATCAATCATCCTTACCACCTCCAACAAGGGGTGTAGATTTGAGAGGCAGAAATGGACCCTGTAATTCTTGTGAGCAAGCATATGGATTGAGTTGTGCCTGTACTACTATTAGTGTATTTTGGTTATGTGAGATAGTAAATACCCTTTTTGCTTAAGCCATTTTGGAGAGCTAGGCTTTCCATTTTGGCAAAAGAAAGATTCCTGACTGATAGATACCATTCCTGAGTCTTACTTTACTTAACTATGAAATGAAATTCATGATACTACCTTGCAGGGCTTGGGGAGGAAGAGGGACAGTTAATGTAAAGCACAGGCACAGAGTAGATGCCCAATAGATATGATTTAATACCATGAAAAGTAGGAGCAAACAAGGCAAAGTAAGGTGTGTGGGATACCTCTGGAGGCCCCTCTGTGTCCAGGGCAGGCCAGTTGAGCTGTGTTCAGTGCTCAGTGAAGGCTGGTGCCTGCCTTGGACTGTCTAGAGGTTTGCAGCTGTAAAAGAGGGCTGACTTCTTCAGTCATTGTGAGCCTATGGCTTTTCTGCAGTAAGTGCTCCCTGACCCAGGGCATTATTGGCCCCATAGGAACAAAAGAAAAGCTCTCTTTCAGGACAAAGAGAGGCTTCTCTTTCTTTGTCTTTACTTTGGCTTTTTTTTTTTTTTAAGATTTTATTTTTAAGTAATTTCTACACCCAGTGTGGGGTTTGAACTCACAGCCCCGAGATCAAGAGTTGCACACTTCCACGGACTGAGCCAGCCAGGCGCCCCATGGCAGTTATTTGTATCTTTTTAAAAATCATTCCTTTTTGAAAATATGGAATATAAATGTCAACAGACTCAACATGGAATGATGACATTTTCATCATGATGATGATCATCTTTCCATTACCTTGGAAAAGTAGGAACTGTAGCTTTTTTTTTTTAA